CCCACGGCACAGGTCTCAACACCGAAATGGCAGCTTTTCTGGCACTTCAGAAGCTCTGCCTGGCGTGAAATACAGTTTGCATTCGCAAGAACCGAACATGTCGTTTATTCAAGCTGTAGCTCCGCCCTGGAAACGCACAGTGTTCAGACAGACACATACTGCCATGGAAGCACATATCCTTCGAACAGACACGTAACATTGATACTCAGTCAAGTAAAGCATTCTATGCGATACGTCCAGTCAAAGAGCTTCGATCCGCAAGCTGGGCCTTGAAAGCTCGAGCAGAGTGGCTGTGTCTCGACGAGTCGACCCCTTGGAAGACGAGGAAAACAGCCGAAGCTGCAGAGCCTCAGGGCGATCTGTTTTGTTGCAGTTGCAGTTTAGGGTTTAGGGGTTCAGGGTTTAGGGTTTTGAGGCTTTGGATTTGTATAGTTGCGGGTTTTGGTTTTGGGCCGGTTTCAGAGTCCATCCTAAAGTACCATTTTTCCGGTGTACGTATTGGGTGGCAAGTATCCACCCTCCTTGCCCCCGCCGCAGAGCCCTCAACATCTTCGGTGATTCTCGTCCCAACAGGATAGTTTGCCATCATCACCGCTGTCGTTGTCATCACTGCTACCACGACTATCACCTTTATCCTTATCATCTTCGTCATCCTCTTCCTCCCGCTCATCATCATCTTCACTCATCATCTTAAGACTTCGGTTCAGAGCCCGGCACAGCTGCCGGGCCTGTCGCCTTGGGTGGTGGGAGATGCATGTTGACTTAATCACTGAAAAAGCTCCTAAAGATCCCCGAGCCCTAGACTCCAAACCCTGAAACTCCTGTACTTAACCCCTGTAAATCCCAGAGCCCACCTCCGAAAACCTGAACACCCCGATAAATAGTAATGAAACCCCTGAACCCTAAACCCTAAACCCTTCTAGACCTCAGAAACCCATGATCTCCTCCAATCCCCTTTTCGTTCAGGGTCTTTGAGTGCCGAATTTTCGGATCCTTGAAGGAGGTGTAGGGTTTGGGGTTTGGGTTTGTTCGCGAGTTTGGGGGGTTCTTTCGGGCTTTTCAGGTTAACCCCGAAGCCCCCAAGGCCAAATCAGTTAAAATCCCGTTGCCTTGGACCCAAAGCCGCAAAAGCGCACAGCCTGCGATCCGAAAAATTTTGGGGCTCCCGCGCGGAAACAGACGATTGTTGCCAAAGCCATCAGTGAGTAGATTCTAAATCCGCCCCTTAGTCGCCACCACGACAGTTTCGATTCGGGTTGAGAACAAGACTGTTAGTCGAAACCTCAAACCCTAACCCTGAACCCTTTCTCATCGGATCGAGAACTACTCGTGGTATAGGGATGCTGTTGGGATTCAGAATCGTAGAACCGGTGAGGTCGTGCTCTGGGATTTAGGGCTCAAGGTAGCCGCGGCTGGGGTTTGGTACCCAGGGCATGGGACTTTGTAGAAGTACGAATAGATGGGCAAGTGCACTGTAGTCGTAGGTCTAGACCGCCATACGCAGCATCATGTCGATTTCCCTGAATGTGTATCTGCTGAGTGGCAAGTGTGCCTCTGTGGACGTGGAGGCGGATGCATCTGTTGAGTCATTGACGCACCACGCCCAGAATGCTCTGGAGGTCTCGGGTACAGGGCGGCTGTTTAAGTCCTCTGGAGAGGTGCTTGAGGGATCACAAACTGTCGCGGAAGCGAAGTTGATGAGTGGAGACGTGCTCACCCTACATTTGAACAGGCGAGTCCAGCTTAGAGCCATCAAACCAGGGAGTAGAATTGCTGCGATCGCCGGGCTCCTGGGTGATGGATCCGTGGTCACCTGGGGCCATGCTGACTCTGGTGGCGACAGCAGTGCGGTACGGCATCAGTTGCGAGATGTGCAGCAGATCCAAGCTTCTTGTGGTGCATTTGCTGCAATCCTGCGAGATGGATCTGTGGTCACCTGGGGCAATGCCCACTATGGAGGCGACAGCAGTGCGGTGCAGGATCAGCTGCGAGATGTGCAGCAGATCCAAGCTTCTTTTGGTGCATTTGCTGCGATCCTGCGAGATGGATCGGTGGTCACTTGGGGTGATGCCGAATCCGGCGGCGACAGCAGTGCCGTCCAGGAGCAGCTGAAGAATGTGCAGCAGATCCAAGCTGCTGATTTCGCATTTGCTGCCATCCTGGGCGATGGATCCGTGCTCACTTGGGGTGATGCCGCAATTGGCGGCGACAGTTGTGCTGTGCAGGATCAGCTGCGGGATGTGCAGCAGATCCAAGCTGCTGATGAGGCATTTGCTGCAATCCTGCATGATGGATCCGTGGTCACCTGGGGCTTTCCCCAGTTTGGCGGCGACAGCAGTGCGGTACAGCATCAGTTGCGAGATGTGCAGCAGATCCAAGCTTCTAATTTCGCATTTGCTGCAATCCTGGGCGATGGATCTGTCGTCACCTGGGGCAATGCCGACTCTGGTGGCGACAGCAGTGCGGTACAGGATCAGCTGCAAACTGTCCGGCAGATCCAAGCTTCTGTCTCTGCATTTGCTGCGATCCTGGTCGATGGGTCAGTGGTCACCTGGGGTGATGCCTACTTTGGTGGCGACAGCAGTTCGGTACAGGATCAGCTGCGAGATGTGCAGCAGATCCAAGCTGCTCGTGAGGCATTTGCTGCAGTCCTGCGTGATGGATCCGTGGTCACCTGGGGCGATGCCACCTTGGGTGCCTTGGGTGTTTACTTCAGTGCTGTGCGGCATCAGCTGAAGACGGTGCAGCAGATCCAAGCTTCAAATTACGCATTTGCTGCAATCCTGGGCGATGGATCTGTCGTCACCTGGGGCAATGCCGAGTCTGGTGGCGACAGTAGTGCGGTGCAGGATCAGCTACAAAATGTGCAGCAGATCCAAGCTTCAATTGGCGCATTTGCTGCAATCCTGGGCGATGGATCTATCGTCACCTGGGGGAATGCCGAACATGGTGGTGATAGCAGTGCCGTACAGGATCTGCTGCATGATGTGTAGCAGACATTTACTACGAAAGGTGACGGTTAGCCTGTGATCCCATGCTTTTCATTCCGTGGTCCCCCAGTAGTACCCTTTCACTTTTGGTTTCCTGATCTAAACAGAATAGTAGGAGAAAGGGTGCTCTTATTATTGAGTTGATGCTGGGAAACCACGTTTTAATACTAGTCATGCCGCTTTGGCCGGCTGATTCCATAACCCCATCCCCAGTTCCCTTCTACCGGTACCCATACACCCACTCCCCACACCCTTTACCCTGGATCCAATACAGCCGCTATACACCCCCCCTTTCCCCTAGACCCTATACAACCCCCTTACCACGCCCCTTTGTCTCCCCCACCCCCACCAGGCCATGAATCTTCAACCTTTGTAACCTTTGAATCTTGTGCCATCAACCGCACAGGGCTGAATCCCGGATGGCCAAATACAAACCTGCATCCGCAGCTGTTCTCTGAAGGCAGCACTGCCTGTTCGCTCACATGCGCAGAAACGGACCACAGAGGGTGTGTCTGACACGTAGTTATCCTTCAGCCTTAGGCCCCTCGGCCTCAAGCCCAAATCCCCCCCAAACTCTACGTCTAAAGGCCTTCAAACCGCTATCACCAAACGGGACTTTCTGAGAATTAGGGGTAGCTTTTTTGGGGTCCTTATAATGAGGATCCTACTATTTGGGGTCCTATAATTAGGGTCCCTTCTTTTCAGAAACTCCCAAATGAGCCTTGAAATCTCTAAATGGGTGGTTGGTGCCTTATTATAACAGAGACCCAAAAAGGGACCATGATTTCGACAACTAGACCCATACATCCCGACGAAGCATTTCCTCTTGCCGACATCCTCAAGGGATCGGCAGATGAGTCTTGGGTCGCAAAGAGCTTCGGGAGCAGGTTGCATCAGGCTTTCGGGTATAGGGCTTTTTAGGGCAAGGGTTTCAGGGTATAGGGGTTGATAGTGTGATGCTTGTTTTGCATATGACCGGGATATGGGGCTTTAGTTGGCTTGTTTATGCGGGCTTGGAGGGTTCAGTTTAGTTTAATACGGGAATTTGTAGCATGCTGTTAAGTCATTTTAGAATAGGAATGTTTTTGTGATGGTTTCATGAGTCTTCTCGAGGGTTTCACATGGTTTTGCGTGCTTGAGGAGACTATAAAGGGTCAGGAGACTTCATAAGCAGCGTTTTCAGCAACACAGCTGTAGTTCGACCGGTGCGTTACCCTAGGGCCACTTAAGATAGTTTTTGGAATCTAGGGTTCATGTTTCAGGTGCTATAGAGTTTAGCCATAGGCCCCATAGTAGTTCCTCTTGGGGATTACCTTACCAGATTCTAAATATAAACCCCAAAAAGGAACTACTATGGGATCTGTGGGTAGTGTATACAGTAGAAGCCCGAAAGTCGGAACATGGGTTCAGGAGGATTAGTGCTAGGATCCCTTCTGCTTTACTTTAGGGGCATGAGGACACTAATGTTCCAACTTTCTGGCTTCTACCATACATTACATGCATCGACTGGGTCTCGACTTCAGAGTTCCTAGTGTCCGGTGTTGCGCCATTTGAGGACTCGGGGGTACCTGTAAAGCCCTTCTGGAGATTCTAGAGCTTTGCCGAACCGAACCGCTTCTAAAATTCGAAAGCCCCGCGAGCTTGCAACGAAACCCCCGAAGCAGGTAAAACCTTGCAAAGCCCTCACGCCCTAAACCCCTAAACCCTAAACCCCAAAGGTTTTAAAGTTTAAAGCCACTTAGAACCTGACCCCCGGATCCAGAGCTCAAACCTCAAGGCCTCAGCTTAGAGCACCCTACTGTAACCCAAGTTCGGTGGGCCCTGATGAATAAAGCCCTTTCGTTGTTTCAGGTCCTTGATACTAGCTTGCGGCTTGTGTAAGTTAGAGTTTGAGGATTTACTGTTCAGTTCGATTCCTTATTATACGTACCGCCAATGTTTCAGGCCCCTGAATCAACCCTAAGGTTGTGAGACGGATGTTGGGCTTAGTGTAGAAATGAGGCTGCTGCGATGGATGCACCGACTGCCTTGCCGCGGCTTCCAAGGACAGAGCCTTTGTAGTTTACCGACAGGACGGGGGACGTACGAAGTAGGTCTATCAGGTCTGAGAAGGCTATATATAGGGTTTGACAGGATTTCCGAGTTTTTAGTGTTGCTTTGAGGATCAGCGCACTTCGCAAGTAGGCTTCCGTGGGGTCATACGTGCCCTAAGTGGGCTGTCCCACGTTGTCCTCTTACTTGATCGCGCCTAGCAGGACTCCCTTCTTTCATAAACTAGACACAGATGAGAGTCTCAATGTTTCCATCGAAATTTCAACAACGGTAATTGTACAGTCGCCCACACCCCGCAAAAAGCGTTCCCACCTTTTGTTTCCCATATTATTCCTGGTGCAAACCCTGCCGGAGAACTCAACACCCTCCAAGCAAGAACTCTCCTGTACATTGTAGGGGCACCCCAAAACAAGAAGCCTGAAAACCATCAGTTAAAGTGCACTGCTTCACTGAGGCATATTGGGCTCGTAGAATCTCTTTGCAGGTTGGCTTCCTAATAAAACTTGTTTCGATTTTTTTGCTATGCAGTAAACCCAGCATGTGCCTTACAACCAAAACCTTTGTCGCAGGCCTATGGTTGAAAGCTTGGGAGCAACCTTGGCTTGCAGGACAAACCGGGCGACAACCACACTGGGCCGCATCTCGGCCCAAACGAAGCGGAAACCTGTGCACTGATGCAACAGTGCAACGATTCCGAAAACCCCGCAAAAGCGGAAAGTTTAGGTGGTATACACTTCTATGTTTAGTTGCGTGTTTACATGCTAAGCTTTCTTGATTCCTTTGTAGACCCCAGCAGCTTAGCTTTACAAATGCTTGGCCAAGAGTTTCATATAGCATGGAGCAATATTGGGGGTCGGAATAGTTACTATCGTATCCGCGAAGAAGTCCATACTATGCTTGTGCGATCAGATACACCACTCTACAATTACCAAGGCCCCTCTAGTACGTGGTTTCCTCGATCCAGGGTTTGTTCGGATTTCAGGTCGCGGGTTTCTGGTGGATCGGCTTAGGAACTTAGGGGTTTAGGGGGGGGGGGGGGGGGCGCCCTCCAGGCTGTTGCTGGATTTCGGATTCGGGCTTCCGTGAGAGCTCAGAGGCTTAAGGCGGGAAGCGAACTAGGCTTCAGGATACTGAGGACCGAGCAAGATCGCAGCTGTGCGTCCATCTATCATCTTGTGCACAACCCCGAACCTTACACCACCAGCCTATCAACCTTGAAAGCCTAAGCCCTAACCCTCAACCCTAAGCCCTAAACCCCTATAACCTCTAAAAACCCTAAACCTCACAACTTGCAAGAATCCAAAAATCCTTAGACCCACAGCACTCGGCCGGTGGATTCATTCTTGGGGGGATCAATATACGGGCCTTCATAATTAGCCTTGGGTTTAGAGGCCCGTACCAGTAAGGAGCCCCCAAGAGAGTATAGGTCATCATCAAGGCCCCCTACTACATCCCCGGAAGCACCCCGAGGCTTTCAAGCCGAGACTGATGCAGAGAGCTTCGACGCTGCACAGCCGCAAAGTAGTCCGGCTTCTAGAAAAATTAGAATTTGTGGCCTCAGGGTGAGGAGGTCGGGAACTGGATAAGTATTGCTCGTAAGGCGTCGCTCTTCAAGGAGCAACTCCCAGCTCCCAAGCCTAAACCCCCCAACCGCATCCCTTGCCCCTATCCTCCATCCTGCACCGCACCTAAACCTAAACCCTGAACCGTCAGCCCTAAACCCCGAACCCCGCACCCTCAAGCCTAAACCATGAACCCTAAAACCTAAACCAGGGTTTACGGGATGTTAAGAGTTTAGCCGACTTTAGCGGCCTGAAGAGGTGAAGGAGTTCTTTCACTATGGTCGCACTACTTCGGAGTTTCCGAAACGACTACAGGACCACATCAACAGCGGATCCTAGACCCTGGACCCTCGACCACTAAAGAATTTGAGAACAGAGTTGAACAGCACAGACCTGTGGGAAACAAAGGCCAAAAACCCTGTTCGGCTACCCCAATTGTTAAAAGGATGCCAGCGAAACCCCGCAACCAATAAACCCTATAAGGATAATAACCCTACAGCACCTGACGGTGATGTTCCTTGGCGTTGAGTGCTGGACATGCTGATGCCGTCTTCATAGGAGACTGAATCGTCTCCAACAAAGAAACCCGGATAGAAGCAAGAAAAACCAGTGGAGCCAAAAAGACAGTCAGCTCAGTGGCCGCCACTCTGTTTGTGTGTGTGTGTGGAGTGAACCTTCGGAAATCCATCTGACCCCTGGGGTCTAAAGGTGTCGAGCGGAGACATCGGAAAGGCAAAGCCTCAAAACAGCACTTCCGTAGTTCTGGGGCCGCTTGGAGGTAGCATCACTGGCAGATGAGCTCCACGGCCTCCAGAGCCTGTGAGTTGCAGTATTGATGCTGCTTGATGAGGCGACGGTGTCAAGTTAGCTGACCAAAGAACAGCATCGCTGTGTGGTCGCGATGTTGCCTGCGTACGCCTACGAGGCAGAACCTTTTCCGAGTGTTTGATAACTTGTGTTCGGCCCAGCTGCGGCACATTTAAGCTTGTAGAAAAAGCAGTCACGTAGCCAGGTCGAAAGCGGCAACGGCTTGAAAAGGGCCATCGCCAATGTGAATCCACGCTATGAGGCGTGCTGTGTTGCTTTTTGCTGCAGGAGTTGTAATGCTTATGCGAATGATGCTATTGATGATGATGATAGTAATGAGGAGGAGGAGGACGAGGAGGAGGAGGAGGGTTGTGTTGATTTCTGCTGTCGTAATCCCTTCTAAAAACTTTCGTAAAAGCCATGTAAACCCAGATGGCATTGCCTTCTTCCAGACAATCCCATAACTCTCCCAGAGGCCCTATACTTGCCTCGAGATAAGAGCCTTATGTTTTTGCAAAGCTTTCGCAGAACTCTGCACAACCCTTTTTCCAGAAGGAGCCTCGGCGCTTATGAAGCTCACTACTTAGCTGTAGAAAGGCATTACAGACCCGCGTAAGACTTGACAAAAAAACCCATACAACCCGCACTCTATTAGTTGAAGTTATGTTCCTTAATTAAGTAGAATACTTTACATCATATTGGGGATCCTACTGTATAATCCCCGTACTAAGGTCAACCTAAGGCTCAGCTGCCAGGGCCTGAGCAGGTGAGGATCTTGCTTAAGAGTTCCTGTCAGGGTTCCTCTGCGGGTTTAGGGTTCAGGGCCGTTTGGGGTTTAGCGGCTCTTTTAAGGGTTGCTACATCCGCCGAGAAGTCAGGGCTTAAGGTCTCGGATTTCGGGTTTAGTGTTTAAGGCTCAGGGATTTCCAGGGCTTGGGCTTGAGGTTTGTAATGTGGGAATTGAGGTCGGCTTAGGGCTCTGAACCTGCCTTTATTGGGTCGTTGGGTATATGAACAAGAAAGATATAACCGAAAAGCATAAACAGCAGCCGTAGAATTAAAGCCAAACCAAACCTATGTGAATCCCAGAACCGCTAAAGCCCAAATCCTAAACCCTAAATGCGAGAAAGTCCCATAATCTCCTCCTTTTCCTGCTCCCAGCGAGGTGACGGGCCACGAAAGTGTTTGCAGCTCCTTTTCTCCCGCGAGTGGGGAGCTCAGCCACCGAGAGTCGAAGAAGCTTTCGGCTAGGGCTTATATGGGAGTTTCCAAAAATTAGGGGTCCCTTATTTGGGGGTCCTTAGAATAAGGATCCTACTATTTAGGGTACTATATTAGGGTCCTCTATTTTCGGAAAATATGGGGGTTTGAAATCAGGGAGTTTTCGCTTTGGACTCAGGGCTTTGAGTTAAGATGCCGCGTGGGGTTTCAGGGTTCCCGGATATGGCGTGTCAGACGAGGGCTTCTATGCCTGAAGTTGTAGCCGTCCAGCGAGTCCGAGAGGTTGCAGGCCAGAGCCGATACACACCGTTTCGAGGAATCCGACATCTGCCAGTTGCTGCTTACGGCGTAGGGTCGGGATTATCCGTTTCAGGAAAACTTCAGGCCCCCAAGTACAGCTATCCAGCTAGCCCCTACCGGGTAGACTTGACAACGGTTTGTTTAGAGGTCTACGGTGCAGTGTCAAGGGCTTACTGAAGCATGTGTTCCAAAGAAGTCCTGATCAAGCCGCAATCAATGAACCGAACAAATCAGGTGAACCAGAGGCAAGACAGCGGTCGTAGCAATTCCCAGCATGATTTTGCATTGTCCTTAAAAGTTCCTACAGTAATGCACGGCAGCTGCAGGAAGAAGACATTGGGCTACATTCCGACGGCACCTCAGTTGCAGTAGCACCGATGGCACGGCAAGGTGCGTCGAGGTTGATTCGGGGTTTGACGTTTTGACAGCGATCATGTAGGGTTATTTACAGTAGCGGTTTTCGTGCGACATGTTTCCGGTGCTGCAACTGTCTGCCCTAACCTCGAGCAGCCTCCTACTACTGTTGATAATAGTGCCTTTCTTGTTAGTATCATTACTATTATCAATGTGTATATAGAAATATATACACACTTTTTGAATAGTGTTCTTATTGCTAGCATGTTTACTGCATATCTGTATATATATATATATATATATATATGTATATATATCTGTATATATTATATATATATTTATATATGAATATATATATTATATATATATATATATAATATATATAATATATGAATATATATATATATATATATATATATATATATATATACATATTTATGTATACACATATGCTATAGATATACGATTCTACTCAAGGAAGTCAGGCCTGGCTCCTTTCTGCTCCGTGGAATCTGGGTGAATCTCGACCTCCGCTGCCGAGGTGCGCTTATTGTAAACTCCAAAAAGTTGGAAACCCTGGACCCCCAAAGTATGTAGAATAATAGCCCTTTTAAGGTATTGGGCCATTATTTTACCTACTTTGGGGGGTTTAGGACTTAGTTAAAGACAAATCGTGCTGGGATTCCCTAGACTTTGCTCTTAGGGATTGAGGCTATCGGGTTTCCAACTTTTAGGCTTTTGCTGTATTGACAAGGACGCACTTATACGTGTACGCTCCTTCCCCAGGTCCGACAACCTTATCAAAATGTCTAAAGCCCAAAGCCATCCACCCCAGAAGCCTTGAGCTCCGAAAAAAAGCCTTTGCTTACGAACCCCCTCATCCCATGATACGCATTGCCTGTGGAGCTACGCAGCTGCACACACATCCCCGGCCCCATACAAGGCCTTTCAACGACTTGTTTCAGACATGTACAAAGGCCTTATGTAACGCCTTATAGAACCCAGAAGCCTCTTCCCGTTGTCAAGAATACGCAGTACGGATCCGAAGATCTTGAAGAAAGAGGGTTCAAACAATCAGGGGTTCACATGAAGGATGTCAACTCCTGGGACCCTGACACCCGAAGCCCGCAAACTCTAAGCCCTTAAATCGCTAAACCGTTACATTTCTGTGCCTGAACCCTTAAATCCCTACATCCCAAAACCGTGCGCCGTACGCTCTGTTGCATGGACAGGGTTGGCCTCGATCTTCTTGGCGTTGTGGTCTGGAGCCTTATGGGTTCGTCTGATAGCTTCGAGGGCATGTAAAGAGGGCTAGGATTCAGGGAGTTTGTGATTCATATGGGTCTTTTTGTGTAAGTTGTGGTTGGGTTTAGAGGTTTCTCTGCGGTTTAGGATTTGGGTGAGTGAGCTTTACGGCCGTGGGCTTCGGAATTACGTCTAGGATGTAAGTAGGGCTTAGGGCGCAACGTTTGGGGCATTCAGGACGCATTGGAGAGTGCCCTCGATGATTGCTAGTGAAGATCTAGGGATTTGTGGAGTTTGGTTCTTGGGCCCGTGGATGCACATAACTTGGAGGCTAGATCGGCTAGATGCTTAAGGGCCCAGCGCCGAGAGCAACTTCGGGGACTGGGGTTCGGTGTCCAGCGGCATCTGAGTCTGCAGCTTTAGGGCCTGTGAGCCGCAGGACGCATAGGGCCCGGGGATCATCCCTGGAGCGCAAACACCAGCGTGGAACTGTGGTGCAATATCGAAGCCCTACCTCTGAAGGTTAGGTCGCCCTGCCTGTAGTTTCAATTCGAGGGATGGTCGAATACATGAAACACGCCTAGGATTCAGATGTGCGAGCAGCTCGAGGTGTCGATGGCAACGGAGAGGACCGTGCGGCAGGTTTTGGCCATTTGGTGTGTGTGCGTGTGTGTATATGTATGTATGCATGTATAAATAAATAGATATGTATATGCATATATATATATATATGTATATATATACATATATATATATATATATATTCTAGAGTAGTTGATATAGTTACACAGGGATCTTCGAGGTTAGAGCTCAGGCTTAAAGAAACTTGGGTCTTGCGGTTTTTGGAGGGGGCTTCAGGTTTAGGGCTTCAGGTTTGAAGTCGTAGGGTTTGTTGTTTAGAAGCTATTTGGGTCGCGCAGCTGAGGTTTTGAATCCAGAAACCAACGGATTGGGCATGGTGCTTTCGAGCCAAAAAAGCTCACCAAGCTCTGCACTCTAGACTCTAGACGGTGCTGAATGGCTCGGAGAGTGTGTTTCTGGTCTTGCAGTTACACTCGTGAGAGGTATTTCCAAGGTTCGGTTGCTGTCCGGAGTCCGGGGGAAGTGATTGAATAGCATGGGGGCTGCCAGCTTGAGTGCAGCGGCCACCCCAGAAAGCAAGCTTTCTATATCGGTGGATGTTTGTCTGATGAGTGGCAAGAGGGCTTCGCTGGAAGTGGAGCTGGATGCGCCTGTTCAATCCTTGAAGCAACGTGCGCAGTGGGCGCTGGCGACTGGCAAAGGCAGGCTGCTGAACTCTGCCGGAGATGTGCTGGACGGAATGGCAACTGTCAAGCAAGCCATGTTGCAGAGCGGAGATTTGCTCACTCTGCACGTGAAGCAAGTCCAGCTTGTAGCCACGAGGGGAGGCGAGATATTCTCTGCCTTTGCCGCAATTCTTGGGGACGGATCGGTGGTGACTTGGGGCCATGCCCGACGTGGTGGCGACAGCAGTGCGGTACAGGAGCAGCTCAAGGATGTCCGACAAATCCAAGCATCATCTCGCGCGTTTGCTGCAATCCTGGGTAACAGATCTGTGGTCACCTGGGGCGATCCCAAAGGTGGTGGCAACAGCAGTGCTGTGCAGGAGCAGCTGAAGAATGTCCAGCAGATTCAAGCTTCTGATGGTGCATTTGCTGCGATCCTGCATGATGGATCTGTGGTCACTTGGGGTGATCCCCATGGTGGTGGCGACAGTAGTGCCGTCCAGGAGCAGCTTAAGGATGTGCTGCAGATCCAAGCTTCACCACATGCGTTTGCCGCAATCATAAGCGATGGAAGTGTGGTAGCCTGGGGTGATCCCGATTGGGGTGGCGACAGCAGCACCGTACAAGAGCAGCTGGTGGATGTCCAGCAGATCCAAGCCTCAGGCGGTGGTGCATTTTCTGCAATCCTCCGTGATGGATCTGTGGTCAGCTGGAACGATCCCGGATGCGGTGGTGACAGCAGGGCCGTCGGGGATCAGCTTAAGGATGTTCTGCAAATCCGAGCTTCGCATCGAGCATTTGCAGCAATCCGGGGTGATGGATCTGTGGTCACCTGGGGTGACCATGAAGCCGGAGGGGACAGCAGCGCCATACGGGAGAAGCTGCAAGATGTGCAGCAGATACACTCTTTATTTGGCACCTTTGCTGCAATCCTTCGTGATGGAAGTGTGGTCACTTGGGGTGATCCTACAGGGCAAGTCAACAGCAGTGCCATACAGGAGCAGTTGCAACATGTGCAGCAGGTCCAAGCCTCGTCTCACGCTTTTGCTGCCATCCTTTGTGATGGATCCGTGGTCTCCTGGGGTGATCCCGAGGCTGGTGGCGATAGTAGTGCCGTCCAGGAGCAGCTTAAGGATGTCAAGCAGATCCAAGCTTCGGATGGTGGTGCATTTGCCGCAATCAAAGGTGACGGATCTGTGGTCACCTGGGGCTATGCCACGGCTGGAGGCGACAGCAGTGCCGTCCAGGAGCAGCTTAAGGATGTGCAGCAGATCCAGGCTTCTTTTCGAGCATTCGCTGCAGTCTTGGGAGATGGATCTGTAGTAACCTGGGGCAATCCCTACCACGGGGGGGACAGCAGCGATGTGCAAGACAGTTGGACATAAGGCAGAGGGAGGGTTCTTCAAGCTGTATAAAGACCTTGAACACCTGCTGTAAACCCCAAGCCCTAAACCAACATAAAGCCTGGATAAAGCCCTGGAGCACTAGCTGGATGGATGAATGAATGGATGGATCGATAGACACCGGAAGTATTGCCAATGATATTTTTTAGGGTTCCTAATTAGATTGATGCTCTGATATACCCAGAAGCCCGGTTCCGTCAAGGCCTCTATGCTAGCCTGCTTGTGCATTGCCTTTATAAAACAGTTTTCTGTTTTTTATAAAAACAGTTAACCGGAGAGTTGGTTTCGACTTTGTGTTTTGTGGTGTGCAGACACCGTAGCCTTCGCCTCAAACCGCGAACTTAAACCCAAAAGCTTGAACCCTAACACGCAAAGCCCTAGTCACTCCCCATGCAGAGACTCCATTACCCCTTAATTAAGGAATATACCTTAAATTATAGTAGGATCCCTAATAAGATTTAAGGAATATTCCTTAATTAAGGGATATTGGAGTCTCTGGGTCCATCATACCGAAGGCCCCAAGCACCCCCAAGACCCGTGGCAAGGATCCACAAGCCCGTCCTGGCCATCGTTCTCCAAAAGTTCGGCTGCTCCCTCAGTTTTGAGGGTTCTATGGTTTGGGACATAGAGTTTGGGGCTAGGGTTGTTTGAAGTTGGACTTGTGGGTTGCGGAAGCAGTACAAGACTTCGATATGAATCACACCGCCTGTTCTTTTGAGCCACGGGTCGCTTGTGACGCGAGCTCCGTCACGGCCTGAACGCGCATTATGAAAACAGTAAAAATATCCCGTGCCCCCTTAAAATTTGTATGCCCTTAACCCCAGAAGCTAAAGCCTAAAGTGACCCGACACGATGATGACTTGATGGAAGCCAATACCGTTTTGTGTTCTGCACTGTTACGCGGCTGCCAGGCTTCCGAATGCCTCAACGAACAGTTCTTGATCTGAGCGCGGACCCGAAATCCTACCGGAACACCTCTTTTCATTAGGGTCCCACATCATGAACCTCTAGATGATCTCTTGGAAAGGTAGGCTTTTGGTGTTGCGGGTATTCCTGGCATCTCTAAGCCGCAAGCCAGAATCTTCAACACTGCTTTCTTTAAAGGCTACACAGTAGAAGCTAAGCTGCATCATGAGCTTGGAAACCTCGTAATCTGCACACTGGGGCTCCTCAGGAATTTTTGTGGCCGTGTGCTTGTGTATACATTATGTATGATTTCTGGGACAGTAGTGCAAACCTTCTATGCCCTAGCCCGACAGCCTCTCCACATCCTGCAAAGGGGTTCTGTCCTTTAACCAATAATGTCCCTGAGGAGTTCTCTATCACGTAAACGCCTTTGAAATCTATGTCCTTCGGCTCCAAACGCAGAAGCCCCAAACCCTAAACCTTAAACCCAAGGTGGCTCTCTGACTCCGTGCTGCGGATAGGAAAAAGGCGTTCAACCAAAACCTTAAGCCTAAACCCTATACAGCCCTGAAGCACTAAGCCCTAAAACCCTGAAGCCCAAAACCCTACAGCCCCAAAGCCCTGAACCCTTCAACCCAGAATCCTAAAGCCTAAACCCTAAACCCCGAAGCCTTGAACCCTTAGCCCCAAAGTCCTAAAGCCTAAACCCCTAAACCCTACACCCTAAACCCCTAAAGCTTAAACCCCAAAGCCCTAAAGCCTCAAAAGTCCAAAGCAGACCTCGCGCCCCCCAAGGATTCGAAGCAGCCTCCCAGGGGTTTCCCGTGCAAGTCGCCGAGGGGGGCTCGGAGGACGAGCCAAGGCACGGCTTTTGGGGCTTTTGGGGGGGTTTAGGGATTTAGGGTTTAGGGATTTATAGGGTTTAGGGTTTAGGGTTTCTAGGGCTTTTAAAGACTTCAGGATTAAGGGTTTAGGGGTTCAGGGTTCTAGGGTTTTGAGGGTTTAGGGGCTCTAATGTAGGAACCTGATTGAGAAACCCTGGGCTGATATTCCCAAAATAGCAGGATTCATATAAGGAGCCCCAACAAAGGCCCGAGGTCTTTTAATCGGGTTCCTACATTCGGCTTTTGGAGGCGTTGTGGGATTTAGGGTTTTTGGAGGCGTTGTGGGATTTAGGGTTGAGGGGTTCGGGTTCTAGGATTTTGTGGGTTTAGGGGTAGAGGGTTCTAGGGTGTTGTGCTTTAGGGATTTAGGGTTTGGGGGTTTGAGGGGTTTTAGGGATTTAGGGGTTGAGGGTTTAGGGATTTAGGGTTTAGACTTTTGTTTAGGGGTTTGGGGCTTAGCTTGGTTTGCGGATTGAGGAGTTCAGGGTTTTTTGGATTCTGGATTTGCGGTTTTCTGGTTTGGGCAGTTGGGGTTGGAGGATCACTCGTTTGGTTTCTGATCTTGGGGTGTGACGGCTTTGGGCTTACAGGGCTTTGGGTTTAGGGCCGTTTAGGGTCTACGCTTCAGGATGTCGGGTTTCAGTTTCCAGTCAAGCGGTCAAGGATAAGCTTGATGTAGTAGTAAGCCCTACAATCTAAGCCCCTAAACCGCTGACCCCTAAACCCTAATTCCCGAGAACAGGTCAAGGCTACGGCTATTGGCTGAACGATGATGCATTCTTAGGGATGTTGTATTTCTGGGGATAGACTATTTAGGTCAGCAGCGCCAACAGGGGAGGCCCCTTATGGTACACAAGTTTTCGACGGGTTTTTCGGTCTCGAAAATGGGCCCGTCAAATCGGATGAAAGCTGAATAAAGAACAGTCCGAACTGCACTTTTTGCTGTCGCACTGGGTGACGCCGGAACAGATCATACAAGAGCCGCAGGAATTTCCTGGAAGGTATCTCCACCACATCTAAACAGGACTTCTTGAGCTATGCAGAGCTATGGTGTCGAGAGGTGTGGCTGACGGTTCGGAAGTTGTGATTTGAGTTCATGAGCAAAAATGGCCCTTTTCGCACTATTGTCGCGCAAAGTTCGAGTTGGGGGATTTGGGGTTTAGGACTTGGGCTAAGGCTCCTAGATCCTCACCCCCCCGGAGGGGTCGTCTTGGGTCGTAGAGTGTTTTGAAATGGAGAAGGTGGTTTGTTGGTTGTGTGTTTTGCTTTGGGGTTGGGGGGGATCGGGGGGGCTCGGGTGCTTCAGGCAAAGCTGCGATCATGGTTTGAAGTGTGTTCGCTTCCGCAGTGAGAGTTTCGGAGACATGGAAAAATTCTGAGAATCCCCGACGCATGTAAAGCCAGCCTTGAATGACGGAATCGGTCAGATGATGGCAACCCACCAATAAAGCACTCTGGGGTTTGTGGGATTTACGTTAGCTGCTGCAGTCTACAGTCCACAGCCAGAAGACAAGACCAAGCAGCTGCCAAAAGCCTTGTGGGAGTTTCCGAAAATTCGGCGTTTTTTTCTTTATGGATCCTGCTACTTAGGATACTAAATTAGGGTCCCCTACCTTCGGTACCCTAAACTCTAAACCGGCGACATCAGGATTCTTGTCTGGGCGCCCTCTAGGGCACAGCTGAGCTCTTATTTCAGCCACCGGACGCAGAAGGAGCAGGCGCCTCTTCCTTTGTGTTGGGTGGCTGTTGTTGCATCCTGGGGGTTCAGGGTTTACCCAAAGGCTCCATAGTAGTTCCTTGTTGGGGCTCATATACAGAATCCTATAAGGTAATCCCAAAAAGGAACTACTATGGAGCCCTAGGGTAGGGTTTTGGGGGGTAGGGGGGCCTGGGAGAAGAAGTTGCGGTTTCCGATTTGGGGTTGCTACGTGGTCCAGTCTCTTGACGGCTTGTTTCGGTAGGCTGCTTCAAGGCATGGAGGGGGAAGGTTTAAGGGCTGAAGAGACTGCGATTTCGCAAACTATAGAATGATCTTCAGGACAAAATTACATGTAACGCATACATATAATATATGCCGTTTACATGTATATGTGTTCATGGTATATACATATACATATGCATATACATATAATACATGTACATATACACACATACACATGCCCACACAGGTTTGAGTCATGCATGCAAGAGAATTACGGAAGAGCTGGCAGGATTCTGGAACTCATTAGATGTCATTGTTTTGGGTGGCTCGGGGGTAGTGCAGCAACCCTAAACCGTTCACCAAGTCCGTTGGCAATGCTCTTTAAACCAAGAAAATTTGTTTGGGCACCGTTGTTTTCAGTCACTTTGGGGTAGTCTTTCAACTTCGCATTTCTGCAGAGCTGCCTTCAAGTTTCATATGCTTTCAATTCTGCAGGCTTTGATAAAAGTTTATCGTTTCCAAAACGTGAAGGCACCACCTTAGACCCTAAACCCATGTACTATGTGTGTATATATATATACACGTGCATATACGCATCCATGCATACATGCATGCATGTGTGTATGTATGTGAGAAAGTAAGTAAGTATGTATGTATGTATGTATTATTTATACAGGTTTGTTGATGAGTATCAATCTCTTTACAGGCTTTCCGTGGTTTGGTCGGAGGGGTGCTATGGCACGTGCCTTAGCTTATCGGCATTCGGGGGCCTGCGAATAGAACACCAACTGTGCCATTGTGTGGCATCGGCCAAAAATTCCCAAACCCTTGCTACCAACTGTTTCAGGCCTTCCGAACGATTGTTGCCAATTTCCAGACTCTGTGAGAACTAACTTGCTGCTATGACGGGATACAAAACTCTTCGGTGTTTCGACTTAGATTAAAGGGGCCGGGGGGAAGGGCTCTGCCAGGGCATCATCCTCGTCGATGAGTGTCCAGCAAAGAGCAGGACTCCTGCATGTTGCCTTTCGTCTGAAGATCATTGAGTTTGGGGTTTAGATTTGAGGTTTAGGGCCAGTTCCACGATGAGGAGCATTGCCGTTTCCGTTCATGGCTTTGGGTTGCAGGGGGTGGTTTGGAGTCTGCCAATCAGAAGCCTTGCCGCAAGTCAACAGCTGAATTCGCAGGCCTGCAGCAGAAGGAAATTGAGATGTTGTCCTGCTTTCTTCATCGTCGCCAGCAGCAGCATCCCCAGCCTAATCAGTAAAAGTGTAGAAGTGTATTATGAAAACTACTATGTGCCGTAGGCTTTGTCAACAAGCCAGAGCTTCAGCCATTCAGGCTCTCAGTGTGGCAAGCGGCCCTTATGAAATCAGCAAGACCTTGAAATCGGGACCAAGAAATGGCAGTGAAGTCAAGCAGGCGCTAGAGCTCAGGACAAGATTCTGTAGAAGAGTCGGATCAAATTATCTTCACTCCTTTTGTGGAGCCGTTAACGGATCCCCATGAATGGCTTGTACAACACAGACCGGCAGCACCCGGGTCAGTCGACCGGGGCAGGAGATCACCAACACTCTGTAGGCAACTACGACGGAAGATGCGAAACCTTCAACCCTAAGCCCTAAACCCTGAGTCCTAAACCCTAAGCCCTGAACCCTAAGCCCTAAAACCGAAGCCCTAAGCCCATACTAAACCCTCCGCTGTTGCGACCTCGCTCTTTGCCATGAGCTGCCTTCTGGTAAAGCTCTGCGGAATTCCCGAGGAGTTTCGGCCCCGGGCTTTTGCGATGTTGTTTTGTTTTGGGGCGAAGGGGGGGGGGGTGGTAAGTGCTAGTCACCTGCTTGAGATGGTGTGGCTGCAGTGACAACCAGTATGGGTTTGAAGTTGCCAGGTTTGGGGCTTGGGCTTCGACTTCAGGATTTGCAGCCTGCCGCGTGTGCGAGTGAGACCAGCTTGGTCAGACGATCGATTGGAGGAGTGTTCCCTGAACGCGACATCTTTGCTGCTGGTGTCAGACCATCGCCATTATCGTTGCCACCGTCAGCATCACAGCTTCCCCCTTGGTCATCGCGGTCATCGTCATCCTAGTTATCATGGTCATGAAAGGAGGAGCAACCCGGCAACCCTCCTGAAGCAGCCACGAAGTTACATTGGAGCTCATCCGTCGTAGTCCTTGCAACCCAAGACTCCCCCGGTCTAAAGTCTAAAGACATAGACACATTGAGTGGAACCGCGCGAGGCTTGAAAACCACGACTTTTTCATTCAAGCCAGTTAAACCACGACTAGTTCATTCAAAAACGTTTATTCCGTGCTACCAGTATAGCAATACTAGCAACATAAGAGTTGTGCTCAGAGTAACAGTGGCAACGTCCAAATTCAGGCAACTGACGAGGCTCTGCTGGGGCCTCGGTTTGGGAGTCAGTGGCTTGTGGGCTTACCATGGGGCTTAAGTCCTAAGTAATTACCAATACCATCTGGGGGTTCCTGAATAGAAGTTTAGTATACTGGGCTCCCAAACCCGATTCTGATGATTACGGCCCGTACTTTGCAGAATATAGGGGACGAGGGAGTAGGGCTGGGCAGGTTGAGACAAGAGGTTGCTTGCGAGAGCAGTCTCGACCAATACTATTTTGACGGTTCCTGATTATAGTTTCATATAATGGGTCCCAAAGCCCTGTTCTAATTATTAAGGCCGCTTTTGACGAGTGTATGTGGGGCTCCTGAAGAGAGTTTCAGTGTCTAATGTGCGTGGTACCAGCCCTACTACAGTGCAAGCACAGTGTCTCGCATACTTGAGCAGTGTCTTCAGGGTTTAGGCCGGGGGGCTTGAGGTTTAGGGTTTAGGGCTTGAGGTTTAGGGTTGAGGGCTTGAGGTTTAGGTTTAGGGCTTGATGTTTATAGGGTTTAGGTTTGATTGTGCTTCAGTGATTCAGGTAGGCCGACCCGATGTCCGTAGCATCACATACTTCGGATTCCAACCTCTTTGATCTCAGCACGTAGAGTCTAAGTGTAGGTCAGATCCCCCCGGCCGGAGACCATTGGCAAGTAAGCTTGCACTTTAGATTTCAGGATCACATGGGTCACTCTACATCCGAAGTACACTGTAGTGATCAAAACGATTGGTGCCCTGTCATGTCCTGTTCGACGTATAGATCTTGGCAACACAAAGGTCAAGCCCTTTCTGAGACGTGTGCGGGGATCATCGACCACCTGGATGCCGCTTGGACTCAGTGGCGCAAGATTCGAGCTGGACTTTACAGGGCTTGGCTGGGGCCTTGCGGATTTGTGCGGTTGCTTTTTGGAGCGAGGTCTTAGGGGCAGCTTGCCTAACCCGAGATAGTTGTATCTTCGTAAGTGCCTAGACCATATCCTGTGCCCGGGCCAAGATACCCGAACCACCACGGAAGAGCCATGTTTCGGCCATGTACAGACAGTAAACTCTGAAGTTGCAACTTCTCAGCTGTTGCCCTAAACCCTAAACCCTAAACTGCAAAAGGATGATGCCTCTTGTGCCAGCTCCGGAGGTATCTCCCTGCAATCGGGTCTCCATCCCAGTTCAACCCGGTGCACGGGCGCACCTTGGTGTGTTGAGGTCTAGTTTGGGGGATTAGCGATTGGATTTCAGGTGGATTTAGGCTTCCGGCATGCGGACTTAGGATCTAGAGGATCCAAAGGGGCGAGGCTTTAGGTGTGTTGATCCTTAACCCTTTGCGCCGAACCAGAACCACAGGGTTTAGATCAACAAGGCTTATATGAAAGGAACCCAAAATCTCATTTTTGTATGTGGTTGGCTTTATTTGTGTTTAAAAGTGTTTTTTTGTATTTAAAAGTATTGTTTTGTATTTAAAAGTTTTTTAAATAGGTTTTTTTGTGTTTTACAGTTATTAAAATTCTTTTATTTTATTTTTGGTGTAAAAAATACATGTTTGTGAATTTTGTTTCTGAGTGAGTCAATTGGCTTCCTGTTGTTCTACCTGGTTTCATGCTGCTGTATGTCTACAAAATTGTTGTTTATTTGTTGTTGAAGTTAATAATTTTTAAAATTTAATCTTTTTAAATAGTTTTGGGTTGTGATTGAACAAAGAAGGGAGGCCGTAGTGACATGTTGACTTGCCTTGAGACCTTGCCCTTACCCACGCGGATCGACTGCCGTTCTCGGTTCGTGGGCACCGTTGGCCGGGTGTGAGGCGTTGAGTCGATGGTACCTGGACCGCCTTGGGGCCAACGTGCCAGGGCAGTGGCATATGACACCCGGACAAATGGGCTAAAGTGCGGGGTGGGGCGGTTGAGGGGTTGTTCGCAGCCGTGCTTACAGCCTTGAAGGGGAGGCCATCCATGCTTGTCGTCACGTTTTGTTAGGGAGCCTTGCGACTTGGATCGACAGAGGCAGAGTGCCACCTTACCCACACGGATCGACTGCCCATCTCGGTTCGTGGACACCGTTGGTCGGGTGTCAGGTGTTGTCGATGGTACCTGGACCGCCTTGGGGCCAACGTGCCAGGGCAGTGGCATATGACACCCGGGCACATGGGCTAAAGTGCCGGGTGGGGTGGTCCAGTGGTTGTGGCTTTTTTATTTTTCTCCCAACCAGGAGGGGAGGCAATCCATGCTTGTCACGTTAGTTAGGGAGCCTTGCGACTTGGATCGACAGAGGCAGAGTGCCAGTCGAGCCTCTCGAGGTTGCCTTACTT